AGAAAACATGACATAGAGATCACATTGAAACAAAATGTATATCATAATACTGGGAAATATCCTCTTACATTTAAATGACTTCAGCAATCTCATTAAATGATATGTATGATATTTTACAATAAATTAAAAATATAAATTGAAAAAAACTGGCTGGTGTCATGACCTTGCTTACTGAAATGTTACTAAATGCTTATTTATTTGTTTTTACTGTTTTGCTATTTACTGAAAGATGCATTAATGGAACCATATTTTGAAACAAGGAGGAGTTATTTTCTAGCTAATCCTAAACTGTATAAACCAATCCTGGGATTAAGTGTGTTACAGCTCTTTGAATTCTCATCTGTGTCACAACTGCTGCCAGAATGGGCAGAAACAAACCATAAAAAAGTATTTCTGCTGTGCTTTGACCCAGACAATCATCCCATTCGCCCTGTTTGTGTTCTCATTTACTGTCTGTCTGCTGGGAGCCCGTCAGCATGTCTGACTGGACTGTAATATATATGGAAGCCATAATGAAGCCAATGATAGCAGCAGCATAGATTTCCAATGACCTCAGTCGGGCCAGTTAAAGTTATATGCAGGGCATAATCATCAATTTGATTGGTGAAGAAGGAATGACTAGGTAATGACATGTGGCAGCTTTATAAGCCTTCACAGTGCCTTCATACATCACAGGGACGAGGGGACAGATAGCAGCTCGCACTCAGGTCAGAATACACTTCAACTGCCTCTGTTTCACTGGTGTGTGGTGGACATTAAGAATCACATGCACAGATAAATGTGTGTGATCCGTTTAAAGGTATATTTTGATGACATCTTCTGTGTCATTGTAACAACAATGTGCCATGTCCATGCACCAACACAACAATGTTTCTGAGAACATAGTTTAAGTACCATCTGGTACTAAATGCTTGGGAAGATAATTCAATTATTTGACATATCATGTTGTCAAAAAAGACAATATTTTTTATTTGGCCTGTACTTGAGTTTTCTTTTAAGAAGTTTGTCCTATTTGTTAGATAAAAAAGAGAGCAGGTCTTGTTTTGTAATTGGTACAGAGATCACGGCCTCAGAGTGGAATACACACTAGGTGCTCCACGTAATAAACCTTTTGGTAAACTCAGAGGGCCGTCTCTTTGTGCCGAGTCAGCGGTTGCTAAGGTGTTTGATTAGCCTGGCAGCCCTGAGCGGCCTCATCAAAGGGCTGTGGAGATAAATGCAGTAATTGGCAAATCATTGGCACTCTCTTCCTCTGTGTTCCTGCTCTGACTCTCTCCCTACACCTGCTCCCAATGGCTTTACAAAGGTGTCACCTCAACTAACTAATAACCGTCGATTAAATAGTGTTTTTAACTTCCTGGTTCTGTCACCTCTGTCTCCGGATATGTAGGGATGATTTTTCATGATTGTCTTGGATTGTATTCATGAGGGAAAAAAAGGTTAAACGTGCAGTCAGATTGAAATGAAGTGGAGTCAAATGGCAGAAAATATCAAAATAAAGTCAACTACTGATGTTTTATTGTGAATCCCAGCTCAACAGAGAACAATTCATTATCTATTTTATATTTGAAAGCTCTCAATAAGTTTGATATGTTTTGTCGAGTTTCTTCGAGTTAGCAGAGATTAAAATACACCACTAGGATAAGGGTGCAAGACCAACACCATTTACAAGATAAATGCTGGCATAATATGCAAGTGGCTATAACATTTACATCACCAAAAAAACAAAAAAACAAAACAGTAACCTGTTCTGAGTGGCTGGTAAAGTTTGAACATTCATTCAATTCACTGGTGGACAAACCATTAACATGTTCACCTTGGTTTAGACTAAACGTCTGCACGAGTTTCACTGATCATTATATATGAATGTACGTATGAATATTTTGAAAACAGAAGATACAAAAGCTCCTTGCAGAGTTACTGATTTCACTGTTAACAATGTCTTGCATGGTGCTTTTGGAATAAATAAAGTAGATTGCCCTCCTGTTAAACTTGGTAAAAAATCATGTCTTCAGCCTCTCTTTTTCCGCACAGAATTTATCAACATCCCGAAAAACCTTTTTAGTGCTTTTCCAGTTTCAAGTAGGGAATCAAAGGGGACCCTCGAGTGCTTCTGTGAGCATCACACAACAGCGATCACAGGAGTTTTCTCTGGTAAACACAAGCTTGTTGTGTGTCAGGATGTTGAGGATTCTAATCTTTAATACTTAGTTTAAAAAGGCAGCAGTGGATGAATACCGCAATAGTTTTGACTTTGAGATAAATATTGTGTCAGAAACAAATGCCTTCCTTATGAGACAACCCTGACTCCCCCCACCCTCCATTCCCACCCTGCTTCTGTGTCTCCCTTTGTTAAGAGGAGCACATGGGTGACGGTAATGAACTCTGACTCAGTGAGGGCTGGAAAGGATGTAAATGAATGTAGATGAGGATGGGAGAGGAAGAGTAATTGCTCACAAAGAGGGCTCTGAAAGGTGTGTGTCAGAGAGAGAATGTCAGAAGCAGAGAGATACAGCGCACCCATGAGAGCTCCTAAGGGAAGTTGTGCGGCCCAGTCAAGAGGGAGACGCTTCAAATATCTGTTTATCTATTAATGAGCCTGAATGGATGGATTGATGAACGGCTGGGTGGGTGGGTGAGTGATGGTGAATGGTGGCAGATGGAAGTATAATGGTGGGTGACGTTAAAGAGGAAACGGGAAAAAGGCAACAGAGGAAAGGAAGGAATTTGAATAAAAGATGGGATGAATACAAAAATATGTAAAACACAACTTTGGATGAACTGTGAATCTGAGGAAAACTGTAAGTGTGAGTTCACTTAACATTCAGCGGATCTTTTTATTTTTTTATCTTAATTATCCTCACAGCAAGTTGTTATAGTTCCATCCTAATTATCCTGCTGTATAAGTGAGTGTGTATCATTAGAAATAAGCGATGATTAAATCTGTACTCTCGCAGCATGGTCAGCTGGTTTCTTGAAATCTTATAACAGAAAGTCTGGAAAAAAGTATTTTCCGGTTTGCAAGCACTACGTTCTGCATCAAATGGAGAAACACAGATATATGATTTCAAGGTTACATTTTCTATGATTCCATCAACAACTTATTTAACTTATTATTTTCATTATTTGATCCAACGGTCTCTAGCCCCATTGACATTTACTAACATTCATTTTAGGGGACAAGATGCAATATATACTTCATTTGCATTACAAATTAGATAAAATGGCGTTGTGTTCAGAACTACAAAATAGATTGAAGGAATGGTGTCCTTGTTTGCTGCTACCTAATGACAAAAACATGTTAAATCATGACATAATAATTGGTCTACTTCACTGAGTGGCTGATGGGTCAGTCACTACTTACTCTACATTCTTTAAATTCTAATGGACATCTAAAAGTTTACAAAGATACCAAATAAACCAGGTTGAACTTTTTGGAATAAAAGTGTGTAAAGGGATTTACAACACAACACCTAGACTAATTACTCATCGAGTGGTAATCATGTTCAAAAATACAAGACAGAAAAACACCTAACTGCTTCTTAGTTATTTTCCTAAAGTTATTTTCTTCCAAATAAATAAACAAAGTGGCATCCATTGTTGCTTCCACCTAGCAGCAACATCCTGAATCACATGAACCCTGATGAAACCACATCTGGGGTCATGCAAAAGTCTTGTGATACAGCCCACAGATAAGTAAAGTCCATCCAACTTTGCTGTGAATCTACAGGATGATCTTTCAGCAGGAGTTTGTACTCATGTTTTCAAAGTAAACACATTTCCTCTCACTATTCCAGTTACGCCTCCCTGCTCTCACAGAAAATCATCTGTCGCAGTAGCATCACTGCAGTCAGAACAGCGTCTGCATTTCTTACCTCCTGTCTAATGACTACATGTCAGTTCCCCCCCCGGAGCCCTTCTGGATATGTGAGCTATCTCCCGTGATTCTCTTCACAAATCTTTCATCTTCTATCTCTGTCATGTCTAAGAAACTTATAGTGAAAGTTTATTCTTTATGTTAGTTTTGTCATGTCCCTTTGTCCTGTGCTTTATGTTTATTCCCTTAATTAATTCTCCATCTCATTTCAGGCCTCCACACTCCCAGCCCCCTTCTGTCTCCTGCGTCCTTGATTATTTTCCCCGCCCTGATTGTTTCCACCTGTGTCCCCTTTACCTGTGTATATATGGTGTTAGCTCCCTCCGGTTCATTGTCAGTTCGTTGTCTCTCTATGACCTACGTTCCTGCTTACCTCACGGACTTCTCACGGATCTATGTTATTGATCACTGCTCCAGTTTTCCTCGAAAGAATGTTTTTGTTTTCCTTGTTTTCATTACTGTGCAAATCCCAGTAAAGTCTTTATTTTGAAACACTATCCGAGTCTGAGTTTTGAGTCGTGCAATTGAGTTCATGCCTCAGAGTTCACTCCTTAACAATCTCCCAAAAAAGCTTCTTCACTTGCAAGTTGTCATATTGCTCCTCTCATACACAATGTACTTCCTGCACACATCTGTAACTTGCTCTACTTACAGTGCTCATGTAAGCATTATATTCTTCTTCTTTGAAAGTCATACAGCACATCAGCTCAGTTACAGTGATGCAGTGTGTAGTGTGTGTATGTATGTTTCCATTTGGAATAGGTAAAGTAACCAATTTCCCTGAGTTCAATGAACAAATAAGAGCCGAAATCCAATTATACGTCCACTAGCAAAAGATTAAGATAAGAAAATGCACATTTTATATCTAAACAAAAGTAAATGTAATCTTTTCTTTCTTTTCCAAAAAGTGAGTTCAACAAATAAAAGCAACTTAAACTCCATGATGCTATTATTATTATGTGACCAAACAAGAGCCTAAGTCCCTTTATCACACATTGGTAAGAAACAAATATGGTCCGTAAAACAAAATGCCCTCTGTCAGAACAACACAAACATCATTAGTTTTCATTTCATACTTTGGATCCTGACAACGGGTCAGTTTGCATGTCATCTGGTCACTCACCCATCACTCGGAGCCTCTCGGCGCCCACCACCACCTCCTGCTCGTCGGCGGAGAAAAGGAGCTTCCCAGAGGTGGATTTGACTTCAAAGAATTTGCCTTTTGCTTTAAATCCACTCGATCCTGGAAAGAACACACAGAGGGAGAGAGAGGAGACATCAAAGAGGAGCTACTGTAGCTTGAGCTGATTTTTTAGAGAATTAACTCAGCATTTGAACATTTAAAATGCTTCCAGGTGGAAGACATTCAAGTTGTCTGGTAGGATTGGCCGACTACAGTAGCTTACAACTTCCTAATCTAACATTTTAAATGTTGTTGCCACCAAATAGCAGAGGAACTGTCTAAACACAGCAATTCATGTTCATATATTAACACAGATATATATTCGATTTATATGATAAAGTTGTTCTCTTTGTTCCTTTTAGCTCTGTTTCTGGTCACCACCACTCATGATGACAACTATAGGACGATTGGTGCGAGGCAGGTTATGTGCATCAGATTTATCAGAGCTGTTGGGTTTGGAATGGCAGCCTGCTGGAGTTTGAAACATGCATTAAAAGGAGGTTAACATTTACAAAAACAGTAGTTTTGAGGTAAAAAACAAAAATATGCTAACATGCTAAGTACTGCTAAGAGGGACCTTCAGTGTAACATAACATTCACTGTTGGTTCATCCTTCCATGAGAAGTTTATCTAGACGTTTGTATTTTTTGTTGACACAGTGACTTTTGATATCATTTCAAAGGAATCACGACTAAGATCAAGATAGTGTATTCCTAAAAAATTAAACAACTACTGCTATTTGCATGTTTTAGATCTTTGCCAATTACTAAAATCCTTTTAATAATAAAAATAAAGATGTATCACGAGATTAGCCTTTAATAATAAAAATCAAACACTCGCTGTTGAAACTATCAGTCCGCCAAACAGAATATTGACAGCTTGTTTGAAAAAGGATGATCAGTTTTAGCTCTTACGAAAATGCATGCTGTTCTGGAACAGCACTATAAAGGTTTGTGTACCCGCTTTGATTTTATTCCTTGATAATTTAGACTTTTAGTAAATACATCCAAATGTATATCGGGAAAATATAAAGTAAGACATCTCGAGACGAACGGAATTATGTATTTTTCACTGATTGTGATGAAAGGTTTAGAAACTATTTCATCCAGATGTGACCTGTTGGTGAAATAGATTTCCACCACCGGTAGTTCACTGAATGACAGTAGGCACCTGGAAAAATACTCAAATTAAAGATGCCTGAACAATAACTGGTGTCACAACAAACAAGAAGTAGAAAATGTAGTCACCTCCCTCCAGCTCAAATTGCTTTGTCTCACGCGGTGACAGAAAACACTGGTGCTGGGGGTGAGGGATTGACGTGCGCGCAATTGATTCTGTCATTCTCCATCTGGAATGTGAAGTTCCTCCCCGTACACAAACCCAGCTTAGTCATCCAAGAGAAACATCGGAACAGACTTCGTCTTCCTCCTCCTCAAACCCACAAGGCAAATGTCAGATCACTTTTTAAACGTGAGAGACACTTCCTGCATGCTACAAAGTTATTTCCATTCACAGAAGACTGCCAACTCTATTAGAGTGTGACAGGCAGAAAAATGGGGGAATATAAAGCAGAAAGTGCAATCTCAGATTTATGGTGGTGCAACTGAGGCCTCTGCTGGCACAGTAAAGGGGCAGAGAGGAAGAATATATAACATGCTAATGGCTAATCCTTGAAAACGTCACATTTTTGAACGGTGGTTCCTGACCCAACAGTCTGGGCTACCCAAAGAGCCCCAAGAGAAAAATAAAATCACACAATCACAATAAAAGTGAGAAATAACATGACTGATAAAAGAATGCAGTTTTTGTCATTTATTTTTTCCTTTATGGACGTTTTTTTATGGACGACTAACCGGAGGGCTATTTTTCTTTTATAAGTTATGCTTTCTGCCCTCCCACTTCTACTAATTTAGTTTTTGATTGTCAGTTGCGTTGCTTGACTTTATTAATATTGAACTGGTATGAGAATACAATTATGCCAAAATAAAGTTCCCAATAGCAATAATGAATATTTTGTCAAAATGAATGAGAACTTAAAACATAATTCTTAGTGGCACATATCGAAACTTTTACATGTTGGGCAGTTGCAGTGAATGTCGTCAGTGTTGTCAGGTTTGATGTTTTTGAAACAAGAAGACATGTAAAATATCAAAAGAAAACTTCAATACAACACATGAAAGCACGCTGGCTCTTACCTGTTACAAGTTGTGTGAGCAGCTGGTTCTTGCTGTTGACAATATTGACCGACACATTTCTGGATGACTGCAGGAACAGCGGGCGGCCCTGCAAAGAAAGAGACACCATTATTTATTTAGTTTGTGGTACGTGCATGGTTATTCAACTATTGATGAGTTTGGAGGAACAAGAATGAGGACGGATAAGGAGAGAATAAAATAACAAAACATCACAGGTTGAAGATTAAACATCATATACACACTTTTTGTCTTTACAATCAAAAGGTTTGTTCTTTGGTTTGTTGTTCCCAACCCCTTGACTTTCATAGACATATATTTTATAAACATTTCATATGACTGTTTGCTCATCAGCAACCTTTAAAGTGAAGGTCTTGTAAAGTTTAGACAAATAACCACAACAAAATGGTTATGGTTTAGGAGAAATACTGGTAATGATTTGGCAATTATTTGTCTTTCCAGCACGGTTAATGGCTGGAAATCTCCTACAGCTTTTTGACAATGTATCTCTATGTCTAGCCACTTCAGGATAACATTGATTACTTTAATGACCCCAATATTTTACTTTGTTGTCTTATACAGGGACAAGAATATTGGAGATGAGGTATTTACCTGGACTGTCCCAGTATGAAGTAGACAACAAATATAAAATTCAACAACAACAACGGGCTACCAAATCCTTATGAGTTTGTTGAACCGATGACTTTTAATATAGTGGCTGTAGACTGTAAGTCTTTAATTGTTTTGTTCTGATTGTTAAGTTCAGTGTTTTCTGTCAACAGCTTCAGGTGGATCACCTTATTGGCACGTAGCTGTGCTGACTTGGGGGCTGGGCTTACATTGGCTGAGCCAGCTATAATACTAAATGAGTACAATAGCACACATACATAGATACACATGCATACATGTAAAACTTTACACTCAAACAAAACCACCAGAATTGTCGGAGCGCAGAGACTTAAGCCCCCTGTTCGGTTTGATAACTTGTATTTCCCAGAGTGCCCTGCACCCATCTGTAATGCTGATCACGTTGGACACTCTGCTCTTTCTGTGCCCGACTAATCTTCATGCCTCAGTCAACTTCTTAATTAGAGATAACGGCCTGACCATTGTGCTGCGCTCGCAGCCGAGGAAGGGATATGCTTTGTGTGTATAAAACTGATAACATTATGGCTCTTGGAAAACTTATTGAAGTTCTCACAGTAAATACACTAAATGCACGATATGCGAGCAAGACATTATCACAATAACAATGTGCCGGGACCTGAATGCAAATCTGGAAAAAAGTTTGAAAATAAAGTAATTTCACTGTGTCAGGTTTGACAAGTCCACTCGGTCTTTAAAGGTTGAGGTGTGTGTATTTTAAATGTTTGCATGCAACCAAGGACCATACAATGTTTAAGGCCGGAAGCAGTGCCTCAGTGTGTTGAGGAGGCTGTTTGCTCATTAGTTCTAATTACCTTCAGCTGTGTGGACATCAATATAACAGTCAACAAGGTTGTGTACAGGAAGTACAAATGTGCAGTGTGACAAGAAGCAATATCAGTCAATCTATTCAAACAAATACAATATTATCACATTCATTCATATAACTCAGAGCATAGAATAACGTATCTGCAAAACATTCACTGAAAATGTTTCTCATAATTTGATTGAAGCAAACGACAGCTCATGCAGACCCGGCCCCATGGGGCCGGGCCCGCCCATCCAGGATTTGGGCCCGGTGTTTTAATCAGGGCTGAATACAACATTTTAATTGTTTTATTATTATGTTTATTGTTGTTATTTGTAGGGCTTTGTCCTAATATTTATTTTTGTTTTAAACTATGTTGAAAGATTAGTTTAATATCATTTTTTAAAATTTTGCTATGAAATTCTGAAGGAAAGGCTGCGCGCGAGACTGGTTTTTCGCTGGGTTGAGTCGTGAGGGTTTTTTAGTGAGATGCGGCACAGCAGCCTGTCAGTTTACTCTTGCTAGGTTAGTTTGGCTATTATCATTTATATTTATCTGCAACAATGGATATCAGGAAGTGGTTCATGAAAGGAATATGGCAACTCAGCGCCAGATGCAGGCACATTAGAAGA